AGCAATTCAGCAGCCCTGGTTTACCTCATCTAATGCCAGCCCAAGTATTCCCAATAATTAGGCCTTTCAGCCTGGAAAGGCTGGAGCCACAGCTGCTTCCTATTTTCCCCAAAGCTGTACAGAGCATTAGTCATTTCACTGGGGTTTTTTATTACCGTGACTACAGCCCCGTAAGTGTGCCGCCAAAACCCAGACAAGCCAAACCAGCCTGGATTCAGAACGTACTTTGGGAGCTTGAAATGTTCTCCTGTCCCCCTTTCTGAGTCCTGGTTTTCCCTCCCCACCCAAACAGCCGGAGTCTGCCTGAAGAAATGTCCTGCTAGGTCTGGGCTCCGTACACGGGCCAGGCTGACCAAAATGAAGCACTGATTGCTGGCACTTCCATCCCAACTATTAATCATTAACCAGCCTTGGGAGTGACCTTGACACTTAATTAGTCATCTAGTCCTTCCTGAAGGCAAAGCTTTTCCCCACACTGTGCTGGTGGGAGAGGGGATAGGGACTGTGTTTAGCAAGCGGGAGTGTTGCTGTGATTTTGGCAGTGCATGAAGGGGAGTGGGTGTAACAGAGACACATCTGCCCTCATGCACCAGTTTTTTTTTGCCTAAGTTGTGATAGGGAAGGCTTTGCTTTTAGCTCTGGAGGCTCCAGGTTGTCCTGACAGTAGCATCCAGTCAAGAGGCCAGCCACTGATGTTCTGTTTTCAAGTCCTCTGCCCTCAGTCAACAGCAGCATTTGTTCTTTGCAGCTTAATTTGTAGCATCTTAACCAAGGGGCGATGACCCAGCAGATCAGCTGCAAGCCAGAAGTTGCCTTTGCTACACAGTGGCCACCTATCAGCCGACCTTCATGGTGTGAACTTTTCTCCTCTTTCCATGGAGAGAGTCCCTGGAAATGGTGGTAGTAGGACAGCTGGTCCTGGAGGTGGAAATGGTGTAGCTGAGTGTCACTAATGTGGAGGCAAAGAGGTGAACTACACATGCCTCTTCTCCCTTCACAGGTGAGGCTGTGTCTGTGTACAAGGAAGCAAATGTCCATCCCCATAACCAGTTATTTTCCCCTGTGAATTCCTGCCCCAGAGGTGGTTGACTCACACTTCTCGCCAAATTGCATTTCACCTAGTGCTGGGCAAAACTGGTTTGACTGAGGCAAGAACTGCCCCAGACAGTGAACCTTCCAAACCTCTTAACGGCCCCTTTTTTACTTTTCTCTTTTTAAATTAGAAAAGTTTCTGCCCTTCCTGGTTTCAGAACAGATGGGAAGTTTTCACTCCATTAATACTGGATTTTATGTCTGGACAGGAGTTGAATTATGGGATCATCTGATTAAAAACCCACATTAAATCATTAATGAAATGAGCTGCTCGATTATATAAGTCATATTCCTATTATTTCTGTCTTGGCCACTGGCCGAAAGAAGCTGGAAAGTCCAAAGAAACAGCCAACCTTGACTGTGATTCACACTCCCCCAGCTAAATTGCTAAGGAGGAAGGGAGGGACAGCATTTCCCAGAAAAGTGAGGACCAACACTAATGGGCAAGTCTGAGACTGAGAAAGGAGCCCCAGGAGCCGGGGAGATCCAAGGTCCCCGTTTTGAGTCAGATGGGTTTGATTGGGAACCTGTTGGCTGTTTTTCAGAGAGTTTTGTCCAACACAGCTGCCTGTGGTCAGAGGAATCCCAGCATCCTCCAGGTTAACTTTTCCAGGAGAGGCTGGGGTGCTGGGGGAAGCAGGGATATCCAGTTGTGTCTCACAGCTGGCCAGCTGCCGCTTTCCTGCGCTGTTCCTAAGCAGGACGCCTGCTCCTTCCACAGGGAGCAGTGTCGGTGTGGCTAAAAAACTTCACTCCCTCAAGTGTAAACATCTTCTTCACTGGCTTTGTTTTCAGGTTCCGCCTGTTTTGACGCTGGAAGGAAAAACCCTAAATAAATTAAAAAGATAGCTGAGGGAAGGAGGCTTCGCTTGGTTTTATCTTTGATAGTAAGGGACCTTTTGAATGCAACATTAAAAGGAAGGAGAGGTCTTTTGGTTAAGGGTCTGAACTGAGATCATGTTTCTGGCTTCAGTTCCTGATAGCCCTGGACTCCACAGTAGGTGAGTCAGGATGCCATTCAGAACACTGTATATCTCATCTCCTCTGTGGACACTGAAATATCTTCCTGGATCTGGCGTGTAATCTGTGTGGGTCTCAATTACCTTTCTGGGAACTGAGGCGAAAAATGTCTTTTTTTGTCCTTGCTATTTGTTTTCTTGCCTGGAAGGTATCTGGAGGACCTGAGAGGGAGATGAAAGTTGCTGAATATGCCCCTTCTAGGGACACAAGGCTACACAGATTCAGTCTTCAAAAGTCCTACAGATCTATCTGTGTTCAGGAAGGAGTGAGCACGTCTGACTCCTGCTACCAGTGCTGCCAGACTGTGGCTCCCTGCTCAGTTAACAGAGAGGTGTTGGGGCTGTGCTCAAAACATCCCTGGAAATACCTGCATCTTCCCACTGCCTGTGCAAGGAGCCAGGATGTGGCAGCTCTGGACTGTGGAAGATCTGGATGGACCAATGTTCCTACATAGAACAGCAATTTTTGTGCTCTTACTTAGTGTGCAAACTCTTCAGGACAGCCAACACTGCTTATGGCTTATGGTGCCAAGTGCAGCACATCTCTCCCTTCCCTTGTAAAACAAACAATAAACACGCCTTCTGGCAGGGGACCATCTGTCTCTGTCCTTTCCCTCCTTCGGAAGAAGCTGCTTCCATGGCTTTATGCAATAGCTTCCTTTATCTTCCATCTCACCGTGGCTCAGTGGCTGTGCCACATTGGGCAGCCATAGATAGCTCTGTTCCTTCTTGTGGGTAGCTTCCTACAGCAGAGCAGAGGAGAGCAGGAGAGGCCGTGGCCCACAGTCAGTGCAGCCTTTTCATCCCAGGACGGAGCAGAAAACGCAGTCAATCGAGTTGTTGTTTTTGTTTTTAACACAGCACAATCGTTCAGTCTGTCATGAGCAAATGCAAGTCGAGGGAGGGCACTGACAAATGAATGCAAGGCACAGGGATCAGTGAGCCGTGTGTTCTCTCGAGGCTGGGCCTTGATTTGTGAGCAGGACTGACTCACAAGGGAAAGGCTGATATGGGTCTTGCCCTTGTGCAAACATAGCCTGTCCCATGGCTGCTGCAGCAGAGCTGAGCTGCTCAGGGGGCACTGGCCATGCCCTGAGGGACAGCCAGCTCTGTTAGGATACAACTCCATGTCTTCATGTACATTGGTTTGGGATTTGATTTGCTTCAGGAGGTTGCTGTGTAAACAAGCTGGGTTCAGAAGTTGTTTCTTGAGCAAAAGCTCAGCAGTAGGAACAGGGAGCATAGCTGAGGGTGGTCCTCTTTTCTCTGCTGGAAGATATGAGGATGAATGGGAGACCTCCACCCACGAGAGAGGCACCAAAATCATCTCAAATGTTCCTTGTGTGGGCAAGGGTGCCTTCCCCATACAGGCAGCAGAGCTTAGGAATCTGCAGAGCTACCTGTAAAATAGACATCTAGGTCATGGACTGGCTCACTCCATGTGCTCTGCTGACTGTGCTGGCTGTGTCTCCACTGACCTTCATGGAGCTAAGGGCCTGGTGCCCTGCCCTGAGATACCTGAGATACCTGAGATACCTGTCTTAATGTAGACCTGAATCTCCTCCTGAAGAAGAAAGGTTACATTCCCTGGGCTCCCAGTGCCCCAGGGCCAGGAACCTGCCCTGACCTCCAGCCACTGGTCCAGGAGGTCTCCTGGAGGGCTGCTGTTGTCTCCTCCTGTCACAGGAGAGGGGAAGGCTTAGACAAAGTTTTAAAAAGCAGAGCCTTGCCAGTGAGTCTCGAGGTGCAGAAAGGATTCCCTTGCTTTCTAAACTCCTTCTCCAGGGAAGGGTTTAGGTCTGGTTGAATCCCATCTTAGCCCCGGACTGCGTAAATGGTTTAAATTTAAAGGAATTATAGAGGTGTGATTAAACCGTTTTGTCCCACAGGTTTTAATGAAGGCAAAACAGAAATTGATTAATATAAATGAATTATTTATTATGACAAATTAACAAACAGGTGAACAGACGAAAGATCCTAATCAGAATTATTTACTACGCAGTGTGAAAGAAAAAAAAAACAAAACAAAACAAAACAAAAACCTCAAAATCTACTAGTAAAGTGTTATATAACAAAGTAATATAGTGCACTGTAAAACAATTATATTAAAGCAATTGCATCGAAGCTAACAAAAGAAACAATCATTAAGTAGAGATTGATATAACTCACCATATGGGATAGCGGGCAGATCTCTCTCTTTCTCTTAACCCCTGGGGAGTAACCATGAAGAGGCAGGAGAGGCTCCACACTTCAAGGAAGTATGTGGAAGAATCTGCTATATGGAAATTTTATAGTTGTGATGATGGAGTCACAGATTTACAAGCTCGCAGACTCGCTTATCTGTCACATCTTGTTTCAAAAAAAGGATGCATATTCTAAGTCTGGTGAACCAGGATGGTCTTAGCGTAATTTAACACCAAGACAGTGACCTGGGCCTGGTGCCAGCAGCTGAACTTGCGTGATAGCTTGCATGATGGCCTGCATGATGGCTTGCATAGTATGCACTATTGGATTTTAGGTCTGTCCAGGGTGGACTATCCTGCCACACCTCCATCCCTCATGCCATGGTGGGAACAAAGCAGTACTGAGGTGAAGTCCAGCACTCTGGTGAATCCTTTCTGCCTATTCACATTGGAGGAAAATAATCCCCCACCAAAACAGCAGCATCCTATCCAATCTTTGCTGGGCCCCCCAAGAGCATGGATAGCCTGGGAATGGGGGTTCATCCCACTTAACTGTTGATAGTCATCAGAGAGAGAAAGACACATCGAGGTGTGAGTGATCTGTATTAAACCTCCAGTGAGTCAGAGGAGCCCAGCTGACCAGCACACCTACTGCTGTATCCAATTATATAGTTATTTTGGTTTTTCTTCTTCCTTTGCCTTCCAGCTCAGACCGCAGGATGACAGACGGTGACACAAATCTCCCAACCATCGAGAGGAAGCTGGGACTCCAGATATGGGGCATAGAGGTATGACAAGAGGCAGTGATGGCACATGTCCTCTGCGTGTCTGGGGGGGGGTGTTTTATGGAAGAGGTATTCTTGAAGTAATCTGTGTGGGAAAAGAGGACCTTACAGATAAGATACAGTGGGAAATAGAAGACCCAATGCCTCCCTATGAAACTTTCCACATGTTATTGTTTTGGTTTCCTGCTCTGTAAAACGGGGATGATAATATTGACTGAGGAAACAGGAATGTGGTGGGACTGAAACTCTTCCTCCAGCACCAGAGGCTTTTCTTGCTTCTTTTGGGAACCAATGCAAGACTGCTTTAGCACACCAGAAATTCCCCGTTTCGCCAAGAAGATGGGTTATCCATAGGTAGCCTTAGTCAATACCAGCAGCTGCCACGGGGAAGACACTTATTTCTGTGACAAAGGCATTCCACGGTGCGTCTTTGTACTTCATTCTTGTCTTCCTTACTCTGGGTCACTACAAGGAGAAATCCTGCAACCTCTGAGTTCACCTTCTGCTTGTGGAGGTGTTTGATTTTGGATTGGAGCTGGGCTGTGCTCAATTCTGCCTCTCTCTCTGGCCCAATTCACCAAGAACATTGGAACCATTAACCTGCAATGAGAGTGGGTATAGACTGAGGTGCAAAGTCCACTCGGGGGAACAGTGGGAAGGGGATCCAACACACATCTCCAAATGGGACTCAGCAAGTCCCATCTGTGTTCCAAATATCACGATCTTTGCCTTTCCATTTCTCTCCAAAGCACTGCACTAAGCTGCTTTCCAGAGGATCTGTAATTAGAGCTGTGTGGGTTCACGAGGGTCAAGCTGGTATGCTGGGAAACAAGTCAGGACACCAGAAGAATGCATATCTCTAATTTCAGGGAACCACAGGGCCAGTTCCAGCCCACGAGCTGAGCGTGGACTAGTGGGTGGCACATCCAGGCACCTGCGCTGGGCAGGCATGGCTGGATAATTATGCACTTGAGCCAGAGGAAGTGTGCAATTAGGGTCTGGAGGGGTGAGGGGCACATCAGTGTCCTCAATTCTGCCTTTCCTCAGCACTGCTGGTTCATCCTTCTCCAAATCCTGATTGTCACCTGAGTGTGACACCTCAGCTGTCCTGTTTCACACACATCAGCTTCTGGCTCTTAAGTTCCAGCAATGACCCAAACACTGATTTCCTTACAGAATATGAAGATGGTTCCTGTACCTGAAAAGGCTTATGGGACCTTTTTTGAAGGAGACTGTTACATCATTCTGCATGTAAGTAAGACTAGCAAACAGTGGTCTGTGTTAGGCAGCTGGTCCAAACCTTTTTCTTTAGCTCTGACTTGGTTCCTAGGTACCCTCTCTGATGGCAAAGGCACTGTGGGTTAAAGTGGTTGTGCACCTGTGTTCACCATCTAATCATGGATATGAACTGAGCGTGGCTGTTGCAACAACACTGTCTGTTTAGTAAACCAGAAGTCCGGGGGAACCATTAACTTAGCAGTTCATTAAAAGTGTTTATCTTCTAATCGACTCAGTCATGCCCAGGCATGGAAGAATGGTCAGTGCATTCCTGGCAAACTGAATCAAGGCCCACATTTGCATGATTTATGGGAATCTTCTGGGGATGTGAGAGGTGGCCAGCTGGAGGGTCTCGTTTTCAGCAGGTGATGTGAGATATGAAGGTGTTCCATGTTGTGTGTCATGTAAGTAGCAGAGAGGCTCTACAGCCCTTCTCATGTCCCCAGTAGGACATGTCATCAGTCCCACCCAAATTTGGTCCAGACCTGCTTGCAACCGGCTGAACCCAGGTTAGGCAGAAGCATGAGGGACTTCTGAGAACCAACCCTGCTCTGTGGGCTATGCAAACTGCCTTGTGTTCCCAAAGCTCGGTGGGAGGATGATGTGTTACACCCACCTCCTAGGATTCCTTCCAAATCTCTTCATCTGCACAGATCAATCCAGATCCCATTGTATAAAAAAAACATCCACATGGTGGAAACCAGAAGCATTTCCCACTTCCTGGGTCTGAGTGTCCCTCCTGCAAACATCCCCTGTCAGTGAAGAAACAGCAATGCCTCCACTATCCCACAATAACCAAGTGCACATCTGCTGTATGTCAGGCTGGGGTGGCACCACAGGATGATCTCCTGCTCAAATTCACCATGCACATGCCTTCATGATACCTTTTGAGTGCTAAATCGATTTGGTTGCAACCACCCAAAGACATGCTTAGAGCAGGATATGGGTGTCCTTGCAAGGAGCTGTCAGTATAAATATGGATTTTGATGCTCACAGGCTCAGCTTCTGTTGCAACAGCTTCCCCAGGTAGAAGAGCCCTTAATTATTCCAATACCCTCCTTTGCCCCTGAAGACAGGAAGGTAAAAATACTCGTCTGTGAATTCTGCTTCTTCACTGGAGTCTTCCCAAATAAGGGTTGTCCTCGGGACAATGGAACTTTGATCGTCTTCAATAGCAATGTATTGAACGGAGCAATTTTTCCGCAAATTAATTATCTATGCCTGAGGAACTGAACTGCATTTTATTTAAGTTCTTCTGCTGTGTTTCACTGTGTGCACAAAGCAAATAAACAGAACTCAGTGTCAAATCCAGCTTACAAAATGAGCTTTTACTGCCTTTCCCAGGCGTCCACGATGGGGTTTAACACAGTAGGCACTGAAAAATAACTGGCACAGCTCATGTAACACTAAGCACACCTGTTCCTCATCCCCCTTGCCTCCTTTTTCTAGGCTGTTGGGTTTTTCTGTAATAAGATGAATCTCAGCATGCACACACCAGCTCAGCTTCGTTTGGAGTTATGCCTGTTTTGCAAGTCAGCAGGAATTCCGATGCAGTTTGTGTTACTACGTCGTGTGATACACGAGAAAGACAACAGGAAAGAAAGGGTAGTATCTCCAGGCAAATAAATAGGAGTGTGCATTCCATTTCAAAAGGTGATCCATGAGAAGAATCTGCTCTAAGTTTTAGTATAAAACTCCACAAAAGTGGGACGGGTTGAACGCATTAATTTTTGTAATTGCACAGGTCCTCGGCTTTCCTCGATAAAGAGCTATGAAAGAATATCAGACAGAAACATCCTTCGGTTCAATATGTACCCAAAATCCATAAATGCTCTCCTAATTAAGGAGAGCTCCAGGCCGAGCTCCCAGGGAATATCTGAGGCTCCATCCTCTCTCCCCTTGCCCAGGAGAAGAGCACAAGTAGGAAAGAGCTCTGTGGTCACTTGGTTCTGTCAGGTCTCCTTGGCCGGTGATATTTGAGACACACATATGCGGACTGTGAGTTCATCCTGACTTGTCTTTCCCACCTCTCCCAGACCAAAAGAACCTCTCGTGGCACCGCTGTGGATTTGCATTACTGGATTGGGAAGGATTCCTCCCAGGATGAGCAGGGGGCTGCAGCCGTGTACGTCACCCAGCTGGACAACGCGCTCGGGGGGAGCCCTGTGCAGCACCGGGAGGTCCAGGGACATGAGTCTGAGACCTTCCAGAGCTATTTCCGCAACGGCATCATGTGAGTAGCTCAAAACACCCTGCAACGAGGTGGGTTGTGGCTTTTCTACATCTCAGAGACATCAGCATTTCAAAAAAACCTGAAAAAAAGGGTATCGGCACTGAAGCTGGTTAAAATTCAGAACAAAGGTTTCCCGTTTTCAAACCAATTGTTTGTAACATTGAGTCTGGAATCATGTCTCTACTGGTCATTTTCCCAGATATTTTCAGTAATTGCATCTTAACCTCCCTCTTGTTCACCCTGGGGTCTTCCTTCCTCTCCTCCTCGCATTTTGGATTAAAGTGCCCATTCAGGGCACTTCAGACTAATATCCACCTTGAAGTGCTGATTTGGCTCATACTGGGAGTAATACTCCTGCAGTGGAAGGAAAGTTTGACTCTGAACTTCTGTCATCTAAAAGAATCTAATCTTGTGGTCTTTGCTCATGCTGGGGTTATTGGAAGAATTCCAATAGCTCTCCTCCAGAAGGGTCTTCTTTGGCAATAAACAGCCTAAGTGCCTTGATTTTAAACAGCTGAAAAAAATTCAGATGAAAACCCATCCTGAGTCAATACCTCCATCCCAGTCTGGCTTTTGAGATACCTCTGCTTTGTGCATTTCTGCAACCTCTCATGAGCTTCCTCAGAACTTTTCTGAGACAGAAAAGTGCTTTTAACCTCATCTAGGGATGAGTAAGGAGCAATGAAGGACTGAAATTCAGACCTTCATAAACAGTCTATTTGGAAACCTGTCTGCCTCTGAAATAATTATAATTTGGACTTCATCTTGGTCTAAACCACATCCCTATGGTCAACCAGGAAGTCTGAGGCAGAATGAGAAATTAAAGCAAACTCTTCTCTTTCCACATCTTGGCAGGTGGACTAATCACCAGAGCATCCTTCTGTGGATATCTTAAAGAAGTCTAAAGTGCTGTGAATCACTCACTGGCTGACCATATTTGCCAGTCTCTCCCAAGCTGTGATAAAATACATATATTACCCACATGGCAAAAACTATAAACAGCAATTGTCTCTTTTTCTCCCATAAATGGCAATGACATCATGTCAATTATTACTCTAGTATGAACAATGGATCTGTTTTCTAAAAGGGTCTAGCATATGTGGAAGTGGGTTAGACTTGCCCAAAATCCATTATAAAGGCTCTGGGACTTCCCTGGGGAGTTGTGTCCTCTCAAGGTGTGAAAGTTGCACAGAAGGGAGGGGATGGCATCATGCAGTGATGTGATACAGTGCTAACAGTGGCTGTTGCAAGGTGTGTGTTCAAAGATGGAAGAAAGAATTTGGGGGATAAAGTCTGAGAGAAAGACAGAGCCCTGTATCTGTTTAATATTTTGTTCTGCTTATGGCAACAGTTTCCTATCTAAGTTACTTTTAATAGAATAACTATTTTGGAGAAAACCAATTATTAGCAGAAAGTTTGTTTTCTACAAAGTCTGCTTCATATTTTAATCGAAAGTTTATGGAACATTTCAATTTTGAGTTGCCACTGCCATGGTTTTAATAGGATTTTCAGTTCAGTTGTGTTATGCTACCACTGCCAGCCCTCACCTACCTGTTGATCTTCTCCTAGGATGTTTAGTGGTTGGAATCAATGATCTTAGAAGTCTTGTCCAACCCAAACAATTCTATGATTCTGTAATTCCATGCAGAGCAGCAACACAAGACCCGTAAGAGGCAGATGGACACTGTGAGAAGTCATGGTCTGACCACACAGCATTTCACAGTCCATTTTTTAGGACTTTGAGGTTATTTTTGCTCTAGATTTTTTAGTTGTCACCAAAAGCTTGGGATGTTCTGAGAGGACAGAGGGGAATGTATTTTCTAACCAGCTCTAACTCTTTATTCTCTGCTACAAAACAGCTACAAGAAGGGAGGAGTGGCTTCAGGATTTAAGCATGTGGAGACCAACATGTACAACATCAAGCGCCTTCTCCATGTCAAGGGGAAGAAGCACGTGTCAGCCACAGAGGTAAGAAGAAAACCCTTCTCTTCTTATGGATCATTTCTCCTTGCCTCTCCTCCCACACCCATTTTCAGCCAGGTTTTCCTGCTGGATATCTCATCCCTGCCCCAGGACTTCTACTCCAGGATAGTTTTCAAGACCTCACCCAGGGGTTTGGTATTACATGAGAGAAGCCAGTGGGCTCAGCCAGTAGCTGAGCGGCAGAAGGATGAGCCTGTCATTGCAAACCTGTTCTTACATCCCAGGGACAGGTTTGCAATGGCTGTGATTTGTCACCTGCAGCTCTTGTCCTCCTCAGCTTGCCAAATGGTTTCATTTCCTCGTGACAGGTAGTGCTTTCCTGGGACAGTTTCAATAAGGGCGATGTTTTCTTGCTGGACCTTGGGAAAGTGCTGATTCAGTGGAATGGACCCAGCTGCAGCATTGCTGAGAAATCCAGGGTGAGTACAGGCCAAAGCCACTTAGTTTACTGGTAGTATTTTTCAATGCCAGGAGAGAAAAAAAAGAGGGAAAAAATGCTCAGTGTTTGCGCAGTGAAAATCTTACTAAGAGCAGCAGCATTGAGATGATTGGATATTAGGAAGAAAATTATTGGATATCAGGAAGAAATTTTTTACAGAGAGAGTAATCAGACATTGGAATGGGCTGCCCAGGGAGGTGGTGGATTCACCATCCCTGGAGGTTTTTAAAATGAGACTGGATGTGGCATGGTCTGGTAATCACGGTGGGGTTGGATCAAGGATTGAACCTGATGATCTCAGAGGTCTTTTCCAACCTGATTGATTCTATGATTCTATGAACAGAGAAAATAATGATAAAACTTCTACTTCCTCACCTGCTCATTTTAGAGGCCCATGGAAGTGCTTTCTTCTGGCTCAGATCTCAGCTTGGTTTCACAGGCAGTTGTGGGCCCATCATTAGCTCTCTCCCCAGAAAGTCATCCAGCTACCTCTGAGGAGGTCTATTTCCATCCCTCTGTGCCCTATAGTTTGCATGATGTAGGATTAGAAAGTCAGCAACACCAGCAGGTTTAGCTGCAGTGACTACCCCCGGGGTAGATCAGTTTTAATTTTTTGTTTACACCATCACAGGGAATTCCAGCTTGGTCAGTATGAGACAAGTAGGAATACATAACCCAGGTGCTCATAGGTCAGATCCATAGCTCTTGAAGCACTTTGCAAAGGGATCATTATCCTTATTTTACTGATAGAGGAACCAAGATACAGAGATGTAACACAGCAAGATATATCAGTGGGCCATCAGCAAGGCTGGTGGCCAAACTCGTAGCTTGTCATTATAATATTTAAAGGCAGGTGGGTCTGCTCTGCACGTGGTGTCCCCTGATGAGCTAAGAGAGGGGGAAGCTTCACAGGGAATGTGGTTTTTCAGGGCTCCGTGGCTAAAGGAGAAGATCCTGTGGGTAATGTAGAAGAGATAAAGCAACACTGAACAGAGGAGGGGGAGCAGGTAGAGGGATGGCCACTGGGTTCATCTCAGACCTCAAGCAGGTGATTTCCTATGTCTAATAAACAGAGGCGCCTTTCAAAGCTGTTGCAGTAAGAGTCGTGGGGAAAAAAATAATTTAATGGAAAATGGGGATTTCAGCCTAATTAGTTGCTTGACATTTCACGCTGCTTTTTTCACAGAAGACATCCGTGTTTTTTGAACACTTGAAGCATTTAAATGTAAAATGTCGCTGCGGGGCACCCAGGGTCCTGCAGCTCTGCAGCATCCTGCCTCACTGTCCTCAGCATGTGTGTGCATCTCTCTCCCAGACCATCCCACAAGACCGTTGGACCTGCTGATGTACAGTCACACACATGGGCAGCGCCTGCTGTGGCTCTCACACGCCTGTGCCCTGCGGGAGCAACATCTAGCAACTATAACAAGCAATATTTGCCTACAAGTTAGTTAATAATCACACACTACAGACACATCTGCTTTTTTAATAGCTAAATTTGGAGGGCACTAGAAGCTTCAGAGAGCTGTGGTGATGTGGCTTGGGCTCAGTCATTGCTCCAGGTCTGGGGCAGTGAGTTTGTTGTCTGTGTCAGGACTTACCCCTCTGATTCTTGTGCAGGGTCTGGCGCTGGCTCGCAGCATCAGGGACAGCGAGAGGGGCGGCCGTGCTCAGATTGGCATCATTGACAACGAGAAGGACTCCCCAGACCTGATGCAGATCATGAGGATGGTGCTGGGAGAGAGGCGTGGGGAGCTCCGAGATGCCATCCCGGACACGAAGGCGGATGAGCTGCAGAAAGCGAACGTCCGGCTCTACCAGTAAGTCCAGGGATGTGCCCCAAACCCCTTCCTTCCTCACAGCGAGCACTGTGAAGGCTGACTCTGCTCGGTGACTGTGTCTTTCAGCGTCTATGAGAAGGACAATGACCTGGTGGTACAGGAGATTGCCACCCGGCCCCTGACACAGGATCTGCTCCAGCACGAGGTGAGAGAAAGCCAGAGGCTTTTACACAGGGAAAAGGATGCTGTGGCCCACTTTGTTTTCAGCTGAGCACCTGTTTCAGTGGGATACCCTGTTTCCTTCCATCATTAGAACAGCTCAGCCCCACTCAGGGACATCCTTAGGACAGCTCAGCAGCCAGAGATAGGTGGTGCATTGGAGCTGTTCCTAACGGAGATGGCAAATTGGTGCTCTCAGCCAAGGATTATATTGGCTTGGCAATCAGAGTGAAGGAGAGCTGCCTACCAGGAGTAAATTCCAGACGGAATTAAAGCTTCTTAATACCTGATGTTCAGGGATAGCCTTCCCTCTGCTGAATCCAGAGCAGATAAATACTCTGCTTAGAAAACCAGGGAGATACGTTTTCCTGCAGTAGCAAGTGGCTGGTGTCAGTCACCCACCCTGGAAGGAGATTCCTTACAGACCCTCTGTGCAAACACTTTCAGAAGACAGAGACTTTCCTTCTGACTAAAATTTGGCAGAGAACTGCTCACCCTTAATTCTCTGCAGTGCAAACCAGCCCGTTCCAAAACACGATTGTGCTGCGAGGTTCCCCCTCCCTCATTCCCCCTGGTGTCAGCCTTGTTAAATCTCAGTCTCCCTCTGCAGACATACGGACCCTTCGTTTTTCTTTTCAAAGTTCAGTCTGAAAAATGAGAAGCCTTTGGTCACACAGCGTGTTTGGAGCACCAGCACTCTGCAGATGGGCTGCTCAGCAGACATCTCATCCCCTTTGGGTTTGGGATTCTGCTGCCTTCACAGCAATGCAACACTTTTGGCTCCAGATCAGGGACACAAAATAGTCAAGCAGAAGAGGTTTACTGGACTTTTCCTGCTCCTTTAGTAGCAGATTTGGCATAAACAAGCACCACCAGCAGCAGTGCTGAAGCACAGCAGGCTGAGGGTGATATTTCAGCATGCACCTCTCCTGCTGCTCCCTTTTAGGGCTGGTGTTTCTGTTGGTCTGAGAACATCACCTGTGAGACAGTTATAACCAGCTTGGAGCAATGCCTAAAAAAAATACATATTTTAACTCATTACAATTAGAAGTCATCTGGGTCAGGTGTGCTTGCAAAGTCAGTGTACCTGTGAACCCCTGCCCTGTGGGGTTGGTGGTAGCTGTAGTCCATTTATGAACCACAACAAATCCATCCTCTGTTACCTCTGCTAATGGTTGCACCAGGGTTAGGGCTCTGCAAGGCAGGGAAATGAGCCAGATCTGCGTCTAACCCAAATCTTCAAGAAGGATCCAGCCTGAGCAGGCTACAAATGATGACCTTTGCCTGCACAGAGCTTTTCACGTCTGTTTTTTTCTGTTTCCTGTTTTTCACGTTTCACCTCAGGACTGCTACATTTTAGACCAAGGTGGTTTCAAAATTTACGTTTGGAGAGGAAAAGCCTCCAGCCCAGAAGAGAAAAAAGCAGCCTTCACCCGAGCTGTGGTGAGTTGTAATACTGTGCAAACAATGTCGTGGGAGGTTAATATGTGCTGATCTGGATCTGGCCACTAATTACAATTAAGTGTAGGTCTTGGGGAGCTGGCCTGTGTAATAACAGAGACAGAATTTATGTGTCTAAGGGAGGCATGATGACGCAAACACAAGATTGTTAGTCATCAAATTGTGCTAGGACTAAAACCTGACACTAAAACTAGGAAGAAATTGGTTAAAGAATTTGTTGATTCAAGAGATGGTGGAGTCAGAGAATATCAGCAGGGTTGAGATGGGATTAGACAAATTCATGGTCAAAAGGTGCACGGAAAGATATTAAAGGGGTTCTTATATCCTCTCTAAGATCCATGGCCCAATATTGTGGATGCTGGGGAGAGAGAAGGGGGACATGAGCCACTGAGCTCACGTTTGCTCTCTGAACAGCATTTCCTAGTGCCACTGTCCCAGGCAGCACAGAACACTGCTCTGACCCCAAAAGGCATCTCCTGTGTTCCAACCAAGAGTAGTGCCTTGGGCAAGTCATTGGGGAAACTCCCTTACTTGGAGTCTCTGGAAAAGCCAGACCTTTTATGTATAGGTCTCATCTGCAATTCCATTACAGCTAACAACTGTTCCACAACACCAGTGGGGCTGGGCCTAGGTTCTGTGTGTGAATTTGGAGGTGATATGGGGTTCTTCCACTGGGTAGAGAGAGATCTGCTATTAGCAGCTGTTAATTCAGATTGGTGAACCTGAGGCAAGACCAGGGCTCATGACAGGGTAGAACACACCAGCCTAGCACCCTGGCTCCTCCAGATGAGCTGCCATGTGGTTATTTTCTGGCAGATCATGCCTCAACTCCTCCTCTAAGAAAAAAATAGCCTTGAGGGAGCCTGAGCAAGTAAGACATTTGGTATTTTTTTACAAGTTGCCATGTTGAAGTGAAGGCTACAAAGAAACTTAGCTTTTGATTATCCGTTTACTTATGGGAAGACCATAAATGGCTTCATCTTAAATGAGATCTAACCAGGAGATACTGAACCTCATGGTTCCACATTCAATAAGGTCCTACCTGGAGACACCTAGCTTCAATACAGATTGCACCTATTGTCTCAGAGAAGAAAAACTTAAAAAAACTTTGCCTTGGGACTTGTTTCACTGTCCTCTGTGCTCCTTAACTCAAGCCCATTTTAGTAGGCAATGAGCTCTGCAAACTCTGGCCCTGAGCTACACTCACAGAACAAAAGATATCTCTTTCTCTCAGTGTGGCAGGTGGGAGGGTTGGGAGGACCATCTGCTCTGCTTTTCCCGGGGGGGTAGTGTGTGGCTGCAGTATTTACAGCAGAAGATGAATGCTCAGAAAGCCACAGTCAGGCTCCTTCCCTGAACCACGGCTGTCAGCACTGCACGTTTGGTCATCCTAGAGCCTGCTGAGATAAACACAAGAGCAGTTCCCAAAACTGAGCAAGGATTTTGGCATTGTGGCAGAACACAGATAATTTTCTTCCTTCTCTTGTGTCTTCTTGTATCAAGCACCTCTGTTGAAGCGGTCTTTTAACTCAGTAGTAGCACTATTGCAAAGAAATAATGTGGGTTTAGGGGGAAAAAAATTGAGAAAAAAGATTTTTGAGTGTTTAGTCCCTTCAGAACACACCTCTGGGGTGCTGAACTGCTTCCATCCCTTCTCTCCCTTGGCATGCATGCTCTCTGTCATGTACCAATCTTCCTGGTTTGGAGAGGGACAAAAAGTTTGGAGAAAAGCAAAGAACTGAACTAGGCTCTTGGATCATGGGTACACGCCATCACTGCTCCTTCCCCTCCACTCCCAGATCCATCACCAGAAACCATCTGTGGAGCTGTTTGAGATAGAGGAGGAGGCTTTCCACTACACTCATTGAGTGAGATTTTCTTCAAGACTAAGGTGCTGTGTAGAGATTAATTTTAGGATGTGATCCAAGTGGTTAGGCTGTAGGGGTAGGGTTCAGTGCTCTAAAGACAGAAATAAACATGGATACTACAGTGAGAGCTTGCAGTCACCTCTGTTTGCAACTCTGAATGCAAGTTTTGGGGTGAATCCTGCCCTTGGTCAAGCCACTGTGTTCAGTGAGGGACATTCCCTCTTCAGGCTGGTTTGGGTCCACATCCCTCTTCTCATGTCTGTAAAAAGCTTGCTGTGTCCCCACTGATGACCTTTCTCAACCCCACCAGGGTTTTATCCAAGCCAAAGGCTATCCTTCATCCACCAACGTGGAAGTGATCAATGATGGAGCGGAGTCAGCCATGTTCAAACAGCTCTTCCAGAGGTGGACGGAAAAGAACGAAACACAGGGGCTGGGAAAAGTCTACACTACTGGAAAAATTGGTGAGCACATTGGTCCTGCGTTTGTCTTTCCTACCTGTGCTAAGCAGCAGCCGAGGGAACATCATTCACACTGTCTCCTGCCTTCAGCTTCTTGAAAATCTGGTGCACATTCTTCCCGTGCCTCGTGTCCTCCATCTTCTGCAGCAGATGCAGAGGATTCATCAACTGACATTCAGAGCTGCTGAGGCTTCTTGTATGAGCCAACCTGCCACTTATTCTAAGTGTAAATGTTGGCAGACGGTCACTCCCCTCTGAAAAATCGTGTGCAAAATTTCACACTTGCAGGACTTCCCCATTTTCGTTGTGAAGGGCTAATGCCGACCCTGGTAAGGAACTGTTGAACAACATTCTGATTTCGTTTACACTGGCATCTATCCAAGACTCTCCTGACGTCAGGGGATTGATGCTGTATTTACACGGGGTGTAAACCATGTATTTATCACACTGCTGAAGTGAATATTACAATGCATTAACCCCAGAGAGCAAACAATACCAAAGAGAAGGAACTTATTGATGAGTGGTGGGAAGATGACAGTGATGCTGAACGTCTCCATCAATAACAGCTTGAGAGCCACAAATCTTTTTCCCTTGCAAGTTCTCTCTTTTCTCTCCACCTCTGTTTCTTTCTGTGCTGTCCATAAATACTCTGTTTCTCTCTGGAGAAATGTAGGCATTTTATTTCTGAAACCAACGTTTTGAAAGGAGGAAAATATTTATAGTTTTGGAGAACAATTATCAATTTTCAGTCAGGAGACAACTACTATTTTTTACCAGCCAGTCATCACTGGAACACACTATCTGGCCAATTCCAGCCTGTAACAGGTCAGCACTGAAGTATGTGAGCTCTTGCATATTCAAAAATCAACACTGGTTTATACCGGTGGCTTCTTGCAACCCTGGACCATTTTTTTCTTGCATGTATGACAGTTGTGTGTGAGGGTGATGTGGAGGGTTTATCTGTTATTGTGCATTCACTGGGTCCTTGTTTTTGTTCTGCTGGTGCACACAGCCAAGGTGGAGCAGGTGAAGTTTGACACCACTCAGCTCCATGCCAGGCCAGAGCTGGCAGCTGAGCAGAGGATGGTCGATGATGCCTCTGGGGAGATCGAGGTGAGAGAGCTCCTTTTTCTGATGGAGGGTGCAATGATCAGTGTGTTACCAAACATCACTTGGCCTAGATAAGGGGAAACTAAGGATAGACCTCATGGCAGTCTACAGCTTCCTCACAAGGGGTAGGGGAAGGGCAGGCACTGATCTCTTCTCTCTGCTGACCAGTGACAGGAACTGAGGGAATAGCCTGAAGCTTCAGGAGTCTGTTAGCAACAGGGCTGTGCTCTGTCTTCACCTTGACTCCGCTGCTGCTCACCAAGATGTTTCTTTTACCAGGTGTGGAGGATTGAGGACTTGCAAATGCAGCCAGTGAATCCCAAGACATACGGGCAGTTCTATGGGGGCGATTGCTACCTGGTCCTGTACACCTACCTGAGATCAGGCAGGCCCCACTATGTCCTCTACATGTGGCAGGTAGGTCAAACTAGAGCAGAAGGGACTGTCCTGTGTCTGCTATAGAAGCCTAAAGCTGAAGGAAGCAGTTGCACAGAAAAATCCCAACTCAAGCATCCAGAAGAATTCAGGTACCCTTTGCTTATCAGTTGTCCATTTCAAATGTCTCAAGCTGAGCTTTGTAGGCAGCATGGACACTGATCCCATGCTGGCATCAGGCTGAGAGCCAGCAAAGTCAGAGTGAAGGATTATGGGGCTTACAATGCTCAGGTCAAACTTGGAAGTCAGACTGTCCCTTAAAGCCTCAGTTCCTGGAATTTTGTGGATATATGAACATCTCTGCTTTCCTTTTTTAAATATTATTTCCCTCCCGTGGAATGCAGAAGGAAACTTGAAAAATGGGATGCTAAAGTCTGCAAAACCAGAATGTGAGGGAAATTTAAATATCTGGAAGTTTTAACTCTGACATTCCATGCTTGGAACTGGCAAGACGTTCCGTTGTGTCACCTCTAATCCCACGTGTCACCTCTCTGTTCCCCAGGGCCGCCACGCCTCTGTGGATGAAATCACTGCCTGTGCCCTCAATGCCATCGAGCTGGACAAGAAATATGGGGACGAGGCCGTGCAGGTGCGGGTGACGATGGGCAAGGAGCCCAGACACTTCCTGGCCATCTTCAAGGGCAAGCTGGTCATCTACGAGGTAACGTGGCTTTGTGAGTGTGGGCAAAGGGAAGCACCAGCGATGGCTTGGCAGCTGCAATGGAAATAATCCAGAAAAACATGGGCTGATACTCAGGAATGGAGCTTGCCAGGTCTGCACAGGCTGGCAGATGGAACATTCCTAGTACTTCCCAAGTAGTGTGAACACCGTTTGTGTAAACACAGTCCTGGACTGACCCAGACTCCACTGTCCACCCCTGAGCTCCAGCACTGATGTGTGTAGTTCTTTCCAACTCTACCCCAAAATACTCTGCAGAGTTAGAATAAGGCAATCACCCTGTGATTTACAGAAAGTGCCATCCAGAGAGGGTCCTCCAAAATATCCTACAGCCATGATTTGACAATTCAAATCGTCCCTCACTGAATTATATCGTGTTAACTACCAACCCACTTCACTAGCTGCTGTGGCTGCTGACATCTGTGGTGGAGACACTGCAAGTGTCTTTGGAGGAGGGGGATTACCTCAGCTGTCAGTGCTGGTTCCACTACACAGCTTCCATGGTGGGTGTTGAGCTAAGCTGAGCACAGCTGGAAATCAGAGTCCAGCTGCCTTGCCCACTCTGCATGCCAAATGCTTTACAGAAAATAAGATCTGCTCACATGGAGTTTCAGCATCTTGATGGGAGCTGATCAAGACTCCATAATTAGTGGAAGTTTTGCCATGTGGGTTTCATTCTGACCTGGGACCAGAATGTGTTTGGATTTCCTCACAGGAGCATGGTCCATAATTGCAGCAGTGGGGAAGGGCTGTGAGCACAAAAGCCTTCATTGAATCAGTGGCACCCTGGATCTGTGTGTTCCTCTTCACTTCCCAGCACCATCCTTCCCTCTGTTCCCCTGCAGGGTGGGACCAGCCGGGCTCAGAAAAGCGCTCCCGAGCCAGCGATCCGCCTCTTCCAGGTGAGGGGCACGGATGAGGTGAACACAAAGGCCACAGAGGTGCCAGCCAGAGCCTCCTCCCTCAACTCCAACGATGTCTTCCTGCTGACCACCAGCCAAGTCTGCTACCTGTGGTGTGGGAAGGTGAGGCTGCAGAGACACCGGGGGAGGTGGCTGAAGGAAATCTGAAATTGCTGATGTGGGGCTTGAGTCTCCTCCCTCCACTGAGTTGTGGAGGTGAACCCTTGGGCAGGTGGCCAAGGATTGGAGAAATGGCCTCCTTGAGTTGCGTCAGGGAAGGTTTAGATTAGATATTATGAGAAACTTCTTCACAAAAGGGGTTGATAGGGAAGTGGGGGAGTTACCATCCCTGGAAGTATTAAAAAAAATATATGGATGTGGCATGCAAAGACATGGTTTAGTGGTGAACACGGTGGTTCTGGGTTGATGGTTGAACTTGATGATCTTGGAGGTCTTTTCTGATCTTAGTGATTCTGTGGTTCTATGAGAAAGGTGCACCCAGGAGGCTCCAGAGGCTCCATCTGTGGAGAATCAGGAGGAACACAGCCTCTACAAAGACAACTTAAGTTGTAGTTAGCCTCACCTTAATTTAGATGTTCATACAGCTTTCAGATGAATAAATCACCCCAGATTTTCCAACTGTAAGAAATAAGCCAGGATGTTCATTTATCCTGTTTTAGTCACAGGTTTCAGGATGAGGTGGTGGATCAAACTGAAGCAGAAGGGTTGCTCAGAGCAGTTGTGGCTGCCCCATCCCTGGAGGTGTTCAAGGCCAAGTTGGATGGGGATATGAGCAACCTGGTCTAGTGAAAGGTGTCCCTGCCCATGGCAGGGGGTGGGAACAAGATGATCTTTAATGTATTTTCCAACAAAAAGCATTTTGGCATTTTGTGACTTTTGCTCTAGACTGCACTGAATGTCCCTTCAAGGACTAGAAATGGGTTCTGAGTGACCAGCTCAAAAGCTTTCAAGCAGGTCTAAAACTCTCCAGAGGACCAAGCCAGCTTTCCCCCACAGGTAAGTTTTGCCAGTCTGACCCTAATTCCACCTCAATCTTACGGTCTGCACACAGGGATGCAGCGGAGATGAGCGGGAGATGGCAAAGATGGTAGCTGACATCGTTTCCAGACGGGACAAGCACACCATTTTGGAAGGACAAGAGCCAGCAGAGTTCTGGGAAGCTCTGGGAGGCAAAGCACCTTATGCCAGTGAAAAGAGGTAATAGTGACCTGCTTGTTCCTCTGGGCCTTGCCAGGGAACTTTAAGCCAGGGATCAAAACTTGGCAGGATAGTGTCCTCACTAAAAGGAGCACAAGGTCAGAATATCACCAAAAGCTTGGTCAGAAACCAGACTGAGATGACTCTTCCTTAGATTTTGGTTCAGGCCTTCTGTGTAGTAGGAGCTGTAGATCCAAACCCTGCAGACAAGGATGTGCTACATCCTCCTTTCCCCACAGTAAACTCACCCCATATCTCATCATAAGGGCTACAGGAACCACATGCTCCATTTCAAGCCATCATTAGCTTTATGAGCAGCCCCAGAAGACTCATGAGACTGGAGCCTGCCTGTGAACAACCTGGATTTCTCCAGCCTTCTGGGCAGGTGATGGGTTCCTTTGCAACCAAGTGATCTGATCTGGGTTTCACCTGACATCAGGTTCATCTCCACAATGAGAGAAGGGCTCTGCTTTTGCCCTCTTTGGGTGGAGAAACAGTTACCTTTAAAAATCATTAAAATTGCCCTTGAGATCTGACTTTCAGGACCTCAGATGGCTGTTGCAGTGTTCCACCCCTTCCTTCAAGGCCATGAAGGAAGCATCAGGGCCCTGCAGGAGGCCACGAGGGAAAAATTTCCTTCTCTCTCGGTTTTTCTTCCCCTGCCATGCGTGAGGAAGGTTCCAAGAGCAGATCACACACTACCAGCCTCGCCTCTTCGAGTGCTCCAACCAGACGGGCCGGTTCATCATGACGGAGGTGGTGGGCTTCTGCCAGGAGGACCTGGATGAAGATGATGTCATGCTGCTGGACACATGGGAAGAGGTCAGCACAGGTCTCCCTCCCCTTCTGCCCAGATGTATTTTCAAACAGGTTATGGCTTTAATTGGTTTGAATCCATCACTCAGTGTGAAACCAAGGGTGATATGCCTTCTGTCCCATCTCCAAACCCTTCATGGTGCTTGGATGGACATCCAGTTCTTCTCACCCAGGGACAGCACAGGTGAGGGAGGCAGCATTGCCAGACTTCTTTCAGAAAAGTGAAAATTGAGACACTTGGTCCATGCCTTCCTCCAAGGTGAGAAGAGTTGGACCTGCTCTGGTCTTTTCCAGCTTATACAAGGAGGTGGCACCCAAAAACACTCCCCTTCACTTCCCAGCACCAGTAGTGATGACTTGCTTTAGGTTATGGAAAACTGTCTCCAGGAATTTTCTTTCTGAAGTGGATCCATGCAAGGACAGGGTTCAGCTACCTTGAAACACGCAGAGCTGTTACCTGAAATATTTATGCTTTGTGCCCGTCTCAGAAGCAAAATCCTTCTTGGTCGGAATTAAATCTGGAATCAAAGTCACAAGGGACTATTGGAAAAGCACGTTTCCAATCTTATCTCTGCTGCCATTGGCAGGGGAGAACAAACAACCCTATCTGCACAGGTCCCAAGGACTCACTGATCTCCAGAACCTTCTCTCCTTGCAGATTTTCCTTTGGGTTGGCAAAGCCTCCAACGAATACGAGAGGAAGGAGGCCATTGCCTCAGCTAAGGAGTATCTCAAGACCCATCCGGCAGGGAGAGACTTGGCAACCCCGATAATCCTGGTGAAGCAGGGCTACGAACCCCTCAACTTCACAGGGTGGTTCAACGCTTGGGACCCCTACAAATGGAGCGTAAGTTGCTGGGAAAGCCCTGTGGTGAGCATGCACACAGGCTCAGCAGTGCTTAAAGGGCATTCTTCTCAGTGGATGTATGATACGGGGAGTGAAACCTCACTAGGACATGTCCTGAGCTTCACAGAGTCACAGAATGGCTTGGGTTGGAAAGGACCTTAAAGCTCACCTAGTTCCAAGCCCCCCCCACCATGGGCAGAGACACGAGTTTCTGGTGTCTGAGCAGCAGGTTCCTGGTTCCTGAGCGGCTTCACCTGCCCCTTCACCGGCAAAAAGTACCTGTTTGGTGAAACTGAGTCTTTTTCAGATATGTGCACTTGAATTCACAATATTCACATTTTTATTTAAAAAAAGATCATGTTCCAAATCATGTTTGTGATTTCAGCCAAAAAGGGGTCAGGGCTGCGAGTGTTAAAATTAAGTTCAGAGTGAAGACAGAAGCTTCCCCCCACCCCATCATAAAGAAAATTGGGGAAAAAAATGTTCATTTCTCAAAATGCAGCCACAGAGTAAAATTTATGACCCAGCTTTAAGGGCGAATTGTGGTGAAATGAAAGATGTGAGCAGACAGGTCTCATGTTCAGGTTTGTGGAATGCCCATCAGAGCCCAGGAGCTCCTGAGCAAGGTCACCCTTGGTCCCTACACATGAGCCTTCCTCTCAAACCCTGATGTACAAATACCAGCTCTTTGCTACATAGAAATGGCAACCTGCCCCAGGAGATGCCTGGGAATTAAAAAAAGAGTACTTTCTCTCCTCTTTCAAACACATGGGCTTCAAATAATTTTAGGAGCATAATGTGGAGTAGGGATTTGCTCATGTGACCTGTGCTTAAAGCCTCACCAGGACTCTGGTTGGTGAGAGGAAGGAGCGATGCACTGGGACGGCGTGGAGGCCCCCAGGACTGCAGGAAAACTCTTACAGGGATATTTTATTTCCTGCATCTGGGTTTGCATCTTCTTTCTTAGTGGTAGTAGAGAGCCTGTCTTGACAGCTGGATCTGCACAGATAAGACAGCAACTCCCAGAGCAATGACCCTTAAAACAATGCTGATGCTTAGAACAAAGGTCAAAACTTGTGGATTTGGTTTGTTGGTGTTCTTTTTTTTCTGAGGAACTGCTGAAAAACAAGGATGCAGCTCATAAAATATGTGGCTCTAAAAATATCCCCTGTAGGCAGATTCAGCAACTACAGACAAGTCATCCAAACTGTTGACATCCCAGAAACATCTGGTGTATGTTCATTGCTCAGTTTTGGGTCTAAATCTGTTTTCTCTGCAGTCCATGTGTTCATGTTGTTTGTTCTTGTTGGGAAACTTTCTTGGATGATTCTGTTAAGAACTGACATCTCCTGGCTGCTTAGGAAAACACAGTCATGAGCTTTGCCAATATATCCAGTATATTCCTTTCTTTTTTTTTTTTTCCAATAAATACCAGGTAGCTCATAATACATGGCACCGAATTATAAAAAGTCAGGGACTGAGGCTTTGAAAAATCCGTTGATTTAGGTAAATGATTCAAGGAAGGGGAAAAAAGGAATAACATTTGATCCCTAATTTTCACGCATTGCAAGATTCATTTAAAATGTAAGAGATTTAAACTTAGCCGTAAATATGATTTCTCTTCATTTGCCCTCTGCTCTCTAAACCTGTCTTTTAAATTTCCTGGTTTCACCTGTTATTGTAAAGCTGCAAGGGCTAAAGTCAGTTTGTTTCTTTGTTTTCAAGGGAAAGCTCAGGCCCTGACAGTCTCCTGAGTCCAGGGGCTGAGGTTTGCAGAGCTGCCACCTCAGTGAGCACCTCTGGACTTTAAAATTCGTTGTCTACTGACCCTGTTAGAGACCAGGAGCGTGGGCTAAAGGCAGCCCATGCTTCCTACAATTCTCTTTCCCTTTAGGATGGCAAGACCTATGAGGAGATGAAGAACAGCTTGGGAGATGTGTCAGCTATATCCGAGATCAAAGTGGTGAGTTGTGTTGGGAACACCTGGAGCACCACCACGTCCCCCAGCCTGCTCTCATGAAGGAGAGGACATCAGGGTCAGAGCAGGGATGGGGACCTCAGGCCGCCAGGATCAGAGCTGTGCACCTCTGTGGTAAAGCAGATGGAGATGTGATAAATAACACATAAATACACCCAGACCTCCTGGGCCTTTTCCAGACCTGCCCGGAGGCATCTGTGAGCAGAACATTGCCTAGCTGCTTTAATGCAGAACAAATACAGGTGTGTGCAGCTGTAAGAGTGGGCAGTGAAGTGTTGTGTGAGTAGTTGGCAGTGGTGGAGCCCCTGAGACCTCAGGTAAGGGCCCCCTGGTCAAGAAGGGCATAGCCCGGTGGAGCATCCTCCAAAGCACAGAGGAAATGAGGTCCCAGCAGTCCCAAATGCAATTGTCACATGGTTCAGTTCTTCCCTGGGCACGGTCAGGATGAAGGCTGGAAGGAAGTGGCAGGTTTGGATGAGGAGAGATGGCCCATCAAGGATGGGTATGCAGGTAGTTTCGAGGTTTTAGACATGGTAGACATCTAATCTCACCTTCTGTCCTCCCACATGTACCTTCCCCTGATGTTATCTTGAGAAGAATGAGACTGCTGTAAGTATCCTCAGCTATTTCTAAGAGCTCTCATTAGTGTGTGCTTTTAGCAGTCCTAACATCAAGGTGTAGCATTTGTGGAGGTGCTGGACTAATGCTTTAGTTGGGCCTTTCTCCTCGCTGCTTTGGAGCTACAGATAGTCTGTGCCAGAAATAGTCCCCCACAACCCCAATGGAGAGAAATATCCTGGGATAATCCCCAACTTGCTCTACCAGAGCATCTTGTCTTGACATGTTTTCCTCCGTTTGGCAGGACCTTAACAACATCAGCCTGAACAAGAGGACCCTCAGCGTGACCAGCTTGGCCAGTTCAAGCAATCCAAATGCTTCCTCGGAGTATAAATCCCACTTCAACCACAGTGACAGCAACAGCTACAGCAACAGCAGCAACTACAACAGCAACAGCAGCCCTTCCCTGATGCCCAATGGTGAAGGAGTTTACTCCCGAGAGGTGCTGATGAACAGGACGGTGGATGAACTTCCAGAGGGTGTGGATCCCACTAGAAAAGAGGTGACAGCATTGCTGGTTTGATGCCTTTGTAGCTTAACCTGGAAGTTTACTCGTTGGATAAGTGTAGTAGTACTTTAGAATAAAAAGTGCTGCTTCAGACTCAAGGAGATACTGGCTGGACACACAGGTCTCATCAAAAGGAGGAGCTTCACGTGAGAGGAAATTCACAGACTCACAGAATGGCCTGGGTCGGAAGGGACCTTAAAGATCCCCTAGTTCCAACCTCCCTGCCGTGGACAGGGACACCTTGTGGTGGTTTTACCCTAAAATGAAGTAATTCTATTTTTTGTGGCCCAAAAATGAATTTTAAGTAGCAATTTTTTTAAAAAGAAAATATAAAATGCTTTCTTCTGGTAGGGTTGTTTTGCTCTGTCCTTGGAGGAATCTAAAGTAGGATTCCTGTGGGACAAGCTGACACAGCTGAGAACGAAGCCAGGATTTGCATTTTGCTTGGGCTGCAGGTGAATGTTTTCATTTGAAACTCCTTCCAGAAGGGATATTTTTCCTCTTCTTTCTTTTTTTTTTTTAATTTAATTTTTTTTTTTTTTTTGCTTTTAATCTTTTAATTTAATTTTTTTTTTTATTTTGTCAGAAACCTTGCATCTCAGCAATTTGCAATTTCAGGAGAAATGACACATCTCAGATTTCCCATCAGCCCGAGGATTTTGGCAATGTCTGTAGCTGGGTCCAAGCAAGCTGATGGGAGAGACACAGGGTTGATTCCCTCTACTCCCTGCAACCCATGTTTGACCCATGTCTTGCCCAACACCCACAGCCAGAGACACAAATCTACAGCTGGGCTGTACATGAGCTCTTTCTTCTGCCCAAAATGCCAGGAAAAAACTCAGCCTACACTTCCCACAGGGTCTTTCTTGGTATTCCTGATGACCCTGCTATCTGCAACCCATTTGTCTTTCCAGCAATGGGAGTGAACATTTACAATGGAATATTTGAGGGGAGGGAACTTAGTGAGAGGGAGATGCTTTCACTGTGAATCACTTGCTAAGAAACCACCCAAAACTTTGGCCAGCAGAACTTCTCTGATGGACTATAAATTGTCCTGGCCACAGAATGATTAGCAGGGACTGAATTCCAGCCACAAGCATGCTAAATCCTCAAAACCAGAGCATCCCTTTGGGCTGGTGGGCTTTTATTCCCCTGGTGCTTTGGGAAGTGGGATGAGGAACAGTTGCTGGGATGTTCCACTTCCCAGCACAAGGACAGGCAGCTGGACAGGAGCTGCTGGCCTGGAGTCAGATATCAGCACTGGCATGGTGAGGAAGGGATGCAGCCTATGGAGGTGTCCCAGCCTCTACAAAAGCCAAAGCTGACCTCTCCTTGCTCTCTCCTCCTGCTGCAGTTCTATCTCTCCGATGCCGATTTCCACGATATCTTTGGGAAGTCCAAGGAGGAGTTCTACCAGATGCCCAAATGGAAGCAGCAGAACGAGAAGAAACAGTGTGGACTCTTCTGAGACCGCAGGGGCCATCCAGCATCCAGTGACTCTGGGACCAACCCTTGCCCTCTTAGGAGCTGCAGGGAAGAAGAGCAGGCATTTGCTCAGCGAACCCAGCCCAACATCCCAACCAGGCCCAGCTCCAATGCAGTTATCCCAGCAGCCACTGCTCAGGGGATGGCTCCTTCCTGCAAACCCAGAATGCCAGGAGGCGAAACCTTTTGCTGGAACAGCTTGGCAGGATGTTTTTGCCTCTTCCCGACACTTTATTGCTGATAGCCACGAAGACAAGTGTGTGCCACACAACTGTATTGTAGCCTCTTCTTTCATTTCCCTTTTGCAAATCGCCACGTGCACAAGGTCATGATATCCCTTCGTTTGTAGAAGTTTAAGATTAGGCAAGACAAAGGCCATTTGCAGCTGCTGTGTAAATGCTGGGTGGGGAAAGGAGGGGGAACCCCTAAGAGGATAGAGGGGGGAGCCTTGAGGCTGGGAAAAAGGTAATGGAGTAGCCAGATGTCCAATGGAGTAGTCCATGGAGTGACACCAGACAGTTCTTCCCCTTCTCACCTTGTAGAAAAACTACCCACCAAAGAACAGCAAGAATCAGTTGTAGACTAACAGGCATAGATATCCCAGGGCAGGTAAAACACAGGGGAACCTGGTTCGGAAAAAAAAGCACTTATTACAAATATGTTTATTAGCTGATCTATTTCAAGGGCTACGCACAAATGCTGATTTTGTCTGCCATGCAAGACTCTATCTACTTTTTCCTCATTCAGACAGCATCTGCAATCTCACCTGGCCTCCCTGAGCTCAGCCAGGTGAATGTGAGAGTCCACCTGCCCGAAGACCAGAGGCTTGAGGAAGCCAGGAGGGTTTTGGGTACATCCTGAGGCAGAGCATGTCCTGCTGAAGGTTTTATCAGGGCTCCATCCCTGTGATGCCCATGGGGCTGAGGGGTGCCTGGTCCACACTGTTGGCTCTGACTAGGGAGGGTGGCAGGAAATGTGAGAGTGATCAGTGATTAAGGGATACAACTGTAACCTAAAGGAAGAAATACCTGTTTAAAAACTCAGACAGTGTGGTTTTGCAGCTTTACTCCATTTCCAGCCTGACCAGTGATTCCAAATAAACATCCAGCAGCAGCATTTTTAAGTGTCCTTGATCAGCGCGTGGGGTAGGATGACAGTAGATAAAAGCTCTGCAGTGCTACAGATCCTTCAGACACCTGGTCATCAGTGGAATTCTGGATTTTTTTGAAAAAAAAGAACTGAGGAGATGGGGCCCCTTCTGTTCCCTGACACCACAGCCAGGACAGTTTGTCTCCCCATGCCCATGCCTTCTCCTGAAGCCTCCCATTGCCCATGAGCAGCAGTGCCTGACTGCCCACCCCTGCTGCGGGGGTGTGGGGATGGAGCTGAGGAGCTGCAGGCTCCTCATTGAGGAGGAGCAAAGAGCTCTTACTCAAAACCCAGGACCATTGCACTGAAGTGTCACCATCTGGCTGGGCTGGAGCCGGGACCTCCAGGTGATGGGGTCTTCTGGACAGATCTCTGTGTTTAAGAATTGGCAGTTACTTCATATAAGCCCCAACCCCATCATTTACCTCTGTGTTCCTGCCACCACTTTTGCCCATTTCTGCTTGAGGGTTCAGCCCAAAACCCATTGAAACTGCCTGTGCAGAGTAAGTTAAGCACCAAGCAGAGACACAAATCAGCCGAATTACCTGTGTGATTGCTCCCGTTGTGCTCACATGAGGTGCAATCAGTGCACATTATCCATGTTTCAGCCTCCATTGCCACTGCTGGAAGCAGCAATATTTGCCTCACCCCGCTGTGCCACGCTCCTGCCAGCTCCTAAATTAAGGAATTGCATGTGCTCCTCAGTAAGTTGCAGGAGTGCCACCTACCAGCCCCGACTGTGGGCCTAACGAGCTTCACACAATCAAATGAAGAGCAGCCAAACTATAGTCAGATTAGGGAGATTAGGTCAGTGTGCTACAAATTGCTTTAATTCCTGCAGCCACAATGCTCACCAACACAAGCAGAGCACTCCTGCCAGCAGTAGGAAACCTGCATGGGATTTTACAGATCATAGATCCATCTGACACTTGGGCCTGATGGAAACTACTGCTGTTCTCCTCTTCTCATGGCAGAGTGGTTTTTACTCTCTGCCTCTGATTTCTAAAGGAAAGATCCTCACCCACATCCTCCTTTTCACGCCGTTTGCTGCTTTTGCTGTGGCATCTGGTGGGCCATGACCTGTTTCTGCTGCTCTTTTCCTCAAAGCTCCCCTACAGTGGGGCTCCAACACTTTCTAATATGCTCAGAGATGAGGTTCCTTGATAATGACATGGACCACATCCCTTCCTTTTGGGAAGGAGACCTCATAGAATTGTTCATCGTGCTCTGCTCCGTCCCATCTCCATCTCAGCTACGTTCCCATCTGGTTCCAGTATTTTCCCCCAACTGTTCCTACCTGATGAGGGGTGTTTTCTCTTCCCATGGATCTTGCCTGACTTTATTTAAGTGTGCAACAGGCAGAGGAAAACCCAGCCTCTCTGTGATCCACCTAAGCCCACCCAGGCCCTGGATGGTGTGGTCCTGCCCCCACACCTCTCCCAACACCCTCTCCCCCACTTTCCTATTGCTGGCCACAGCAGGCAAGTGAGGGCTTTAACTCAAATAATCCAACTGAAATCTAATCCTGCAACCCAAAAAATGCAAATAATGTGTTTGCAGCCAACCCAGTGGGTTGATATGACTTCACAGAATAACAATCACAGAATGGTTTGGGTTGGGAGGGACCTCAAAGATCATCCAGTTCCAACCCCCCTGCCATGGGCAGGGACACCTTCCACTAGACCAGTTTGCTCCAAACCCCATCCACCCCGGCCTTGAACATTTCCAGGGATGGGGCATCCACAACTCCTCTGGGAAACCTGTACAAGCCCCTCGCCATCCTCACAGGGAAGAATTTCTTTCTAACCTGCCCCGTGAGAGCTGGTGCTGACACAAGGGAGGGGGGCAGGAACATTTCTGACCACGCCTGCTCTCCCACTGCATGGTGCAAGCTCCCTGCATGGCACAGGGCAGTCCTGGGTGTCCTTTGTCCATGCTTTTTATCCCACTGCTCCTTAAAATGAAATGCTGAGAGCACACTGAGAGCAGGGACTGTGAACACCGGCTGTCCCTGGGGGGGAGTCAAGGCCTGGCTCCAGCCCTGGCCTTCAAATGTGCCTCCAACAACATGCCCCCATCCCAGAGGTGAGTTGAGAGAGCCCATGTCACTGCAGGACACTCTGCTGTGCCTCTCTGGCCTCTCCACTCCTGGATTCTACCACCCACTGGCTGTTAACGCAATACGAGCCTTTGAGGTGTGGATATAATTCACATTTAATTTGGCAACAGTTTACAACATCTCACAATATTGTAGTGAAGAGGAAAAATCAATGTGTCCAGCAATGATTACTGAAGCATAACAAACTCCACAGAGGAGTAAAAGAAACCCAGCTTCACAGCAGGCCCAAGGATCACTAAATCCAGGCTATTTTGGACTCAAAAAATAAGTTGACTGGATTAGGTTTAAAAAGACATTAACATTTTTGGTATCAGCCTGTCCTCTCCACCACCAGGGACTGAAAACCCTAGAAAGCCTGATAACTTAAGAAATTAAGCAGGTCTATCTCCAAATTCATGTGTGCTGCATTCAAGTACGACAAAGAGGCAAATAGTGACAACTAACTGGACTCTTCCAGAATTTTTTTAAATTTTTAATAGTCTAATGCATTGTTAGTAACATAGGTGGCATTTCAAAATATATATTATTTTATTTCAACAATATTCCCTTAACTCTGTAGTTCTACTGGAAGAAAAAAAAAAAATCACTCGTTGCCATAAATACTGAGTTGCTGTTCAAAACACTCCTGTGTGTTTGTGCTGGGTTACCTCTACAGTGCAACTGGGACCGGCTAACATTTACAACATCCACTGCCACTTCCTCTGTGTTTAAAAAATGACATTTTTCTATAAAAACACGCAGTTTTATTGCATTAAAAAAAAAAAATCCCTACTGTCAGTCGAGTGTGTTTCTATGTGTCACCGGCAAAGGTGTTCTCTGAGGTCCCTTTTGAGCGGGGTTTCACTTTGGGTTAGAGGGAAATCTGCCACTCAGCAGCTCCTTTCTCCTTCACAGGGTGAGAGCCCCTTTGAATGCAAAGCAGCCTGGCTGGGAGCCAGGCACACAGGCAGGGTAGTGTTCATGTATTTTTCATTACAACACAAAAGGAAAGCCGAGTTACATAACACGGGCCTTTGTAGTGCAGCTTTCTTTTTTAATCTGTAACAGGGAAGGGGGGAATCGTGTCCCCATTTAAGACTTCATATGGTGAAAGATGGCTGACACCTGCAGCTGCAAGAAGTCACCTGGCGCCTGGCCACTGATTGCAGTGCCAATGGTGGACTTTTCTTCTGGCACAGATGTTGGGTGTTTTGTCCAGATGTCTGACTGAACCCAACCCAAGAGCTGTACTTCACTAAAAAGGAGTCTCTATCCTCTCGCTAAAAGCAACATTAAAAAAATCTAAATAAAGTGAACTAAAAACACAGCTGGATTGGTCGAACAGGTACAAAAGGATTCGTCTCAACAGCAGCAGTGGGATGTTTCCAGCACGCAGAAGGGAGAAGGTCGATGGCTGTTTCACATCGGGGTCCTACGGAGCACCGTGTGCTGCTCCAGGGAAGGTGCTGGGGATTGGCAGGACCCTGACATTGGCAGAGTTCACACACTGAATTCCTTCCAGGTCTGTAACGAGGTTCACTGTGCCCTGAAGGAGCCGAGCTGCTAATCACAGTCCTGGATATTGATGTACACAAAGAGGGTGGAGGAGGAGTACGGGTCTCCGTTCTTGGTTAGAAGATGGATGTGGCGATAACCTGGAAGCAGAGGCACAGATGGAAAGTGGCCTTTAGTCCAGCTGGAAAAACATTTGCTGACATTTGCCAAGACCCTGCAAAAACATCTCCCTTTCTCAGAGTGTTTTGCTCCCAGTATCCCACAGAACAGGCAGATCCAAGAGGCTTTGATATGCTCACAGCCACTGGGGACAAGGGGGGCCCTTCCCTAGAGACAGTGTTATCAGCTGCCCAAATAATCTGTTCTGACCTGAGGTATGATGAATCTAGAACACTCAGGACACTGGAACTTCCCAAAGGGTTCAGTGGTTGTGAGGAACAGGGAACAGGGCCTTACCTTGCTTCAGGCTCGTGAAGGGAAGGGTGTACTGCCCGATGAAGTCATTCTTGGTCGACATGTCAAAGTCTTCCACCACAAACCGAACCAGGGCAAGTGCAGGGATCTCTATGTCAAATGTAAACTCTTCGTCCCATTTCGGGTTAAAGCCTGGACAACACAGACAAGGATATCAGAGATGTTGGCAGGTAAGGATGGTGGTCAGAGGTGTTGCAAATCAGTGGAGACTCTGCCTGAAAGCCAACCTAATCTGACCCAGGCCAGGGGTCTTAGGAGGTGCCAAGAGCCTTGTTCCCAGCTCCAATACTCATTTGCTCCCTGGTATTAATAAATCCTTCAGCTCAGGCTGCTCGCTGCAGACCTCAGCACCATTGTCCCAGAAGGCAGTGAGGAGCAGGATGGAGGGGAACTCAGCTCTGCTCCATGTACCATCTGGTACATGGATGTCTTTGCTTGCCATTGGACCAGTTGCATATTTTTACAGCCCTAAACCAGGGGAGAGAGGAGAGCTCTGTCTTTGTGTTGTGACGGACTCCTGAGGCCTTAAGCCTCTCCAGCTTCTTGAGATACACCCATCTAACCACCACTCCGTGCCTCATTTCCCCTGTCTGCAAGAAAGGTTAAAGAGGAGTGTCTGATTACAGAAACCATCATCAAGTCTGATAAGGATCATGTGGTTCAGACTCAAAGCAAACAAAACCAAGACCATGGCATCAGATAAGAGGTGGAGAGAAAGCTCAGTGCTCTCTCTCCAGGTCACAGGAGGTGCAGTTCCAACAAACCGCTCCCCAGAAGCAAACAGGAGGAGAGGACATCCTGTTGGAAAACCTGCTGCCATCGGCAGAGCCTGTGCAGAGCAGACCAAGGACAGCAAAACCCTGCTGGTCATGAAGGGTTTGTGGGGGATTCAGTAGGAGACAGGGATCTTTCAGCTGGCCCTGGAGGTGCTGAGAGGGGCCTGAGGACTGTGCCATAGCACAATACCTGTGCTGCATTGGTGTACTTTATTAATCATATTTCTATGATTAAATCAACTGGACTGTTCACACAAAACACATCTGCTCCAGACTCTTCATCCTTGGGGAAAAAAACCTGTTGCTGAACAAAGTGTTGCTCATCCCATGGGAGCAGAAATCATGAAAGCTGAGGGAGAGTCACTGGCCCTGGGACAGTAGGCTTCACTCTAGTGGAATCTGAGGGGGATTCTCAGCCCATCTCAGAGCCACAGTGAGATAGAGATGCTGAGCCAGCAGGTTCCTACAGCCTCTTGAGCTCCATGGTCTGTGTCCTGATCATGCTGTGTCCCAATCTGTCCCACAGCCCCTGCTTCAGTCCCAACGACACAGAATGATAGAATCATTCGGGTTGGAAAAGACCTTTAAGACCATCGAGTCCAGCTGTAAAACATCAAACCAGGTGAGCCGTTGAAGTGTGATCACACATCTGAAACCTCAGCCCATGAAATGCAAACCCCTCTCTGCAGCTGCCTCTTTCCAACATGGATGTTTTCATTGTTTGACTCACTTTCCACTGGACAACAATCCCTCCAGTATCGCTCCACCATCATTCCAGTATTGCTCCAGCCAGCCAAGGGCTGGCAACAGGACTGGGAATGCTGAGCAGCCTTGAGGAAAAGGCCTGGCAGTTCTGAAATGTTCCCTACACGACTTTCACTTGACAGGCTATAAGAATTATTGTAGGTGACGGAAATGGCCGTGAGCTTTAGGAGCCAGGCCAGATTTACTCAAACAGGAAAGAGGAAAAGGGAAACATTGTTAGCAGGGAGGAAAATCTGCATCAGCTTTCTAGCATTTGGCTCTTACTCCAGGCAAAAAATCAGAATGTGTGTGTGTATGTGTTAGTGCAGGAGGCCATAATGTTCAGACCCTCCCTGCACAGAGGGAAGTCACAGCCACATTTGAAATGGTCCTCCATCTTTTGAGATATTCAAAATTCATCTAGGCAATATCCTGAGCAACTTGAGTAAACTTCGAGTATGGTCCTGCTTTAGGCAGGGGCTGGAACAGACACATCCAAAGTCCCATGCAACTTCAATCTTTCATGACGTCATGACACTTTCAGGATAAAATCAGCCCCACAAGAAGCCTTCTCTGGGAATATCATGGTGGGACTCCCTGCAGCCCAGGTCAAACCCAACTCTGTGGAGGTAAAGAGCACTTCCAAAGCTCTAGCTCTGCAAACCCAGCAGCCAGCCTCAAACAACTCAATATGGCTGATGTTGTTTTACAGGGAATTTCTGTCTCCAAATGTCTTAGAGAGAGAAGAGAGGGAAGAACCTCTCAAAGTCCAACAGCACCTCATGTATCTGCTTAGTGTGGGCTGGCTTGCATGCAACCTGGGCAGGTCTGGTCACAGGGCAGCAGCCTTGGCAAGGAACACTCTGCTACATGACATGGAAGAGTTACTATCCCATGGGAGCACAGCTCGGAAGAAAACCCCTTACCATTGTTTTCAATGACTTTGGTCTGTTTCTTGTTGTTATCCTGTTGGACACCATGGATCTCTATCGTCACCTTGGGATCAACAATGGAGTTTTTGCTTTTGTTCACCTTGGGCAGCTGCTGACCAGAGATGATCTGAGGAGGAAACAGAGAAAGAGGTTAGGAACTCATCAGGAGAGGGGGCTCCCTGGAAAATTCCCTCTCCTTCTCCGGGAGCACAGGATCTGCTGTGACAAGTTGGTGCTGCTCTTTCAGAGCCGGTGCTGCTTTTTCAGAGCCGGTGCTGTGACATCCTTCAGAGGAAGCTGTCATGAGTCAAAGCACCTAAGGAACACTGCTCCAGCCCAGCCAGCTGGCTGGGGGACAGGCAACTTTTCTAACTGTCCCCACAGTGATCAGGTGACACTTGGGAACAGCAGAGGTGACTGTTGATTGCACGTCTGCCTGTACGTCTCTGTAACGACAGTGAATATTGTCATTAACCTCTTCTACTGCCCAACACTAAACACGTGAGTGGGTCCCTGGAGGATCAAAGTCCATGAGAGACCCCAGAGGTGGGAAATCAGTAGGGTTACGACAACATTGCCCAGGTGGGACCAGAAGAAGGAGAAGGTACAACCTACACGCCCCCCCGAAGGTGGATGCTACTGAGACGATTCCCGACTTCTATTCTTACTTTAAGCAGGAGCTTCTTCTTTGTCCCCCATGTTCCTTCTGTGATGGATTTTGGATTGAATTTGGTTTGCTCATCCCGGAGGAATTCCGGCTTTAAGACATACCCAGAAAACCCATTGTCCTGGAACCGACCCTG